GGCGCTGCCCGGCCCCACGGTGGCGGGATGGGGGCTGACCCTCACGTGGAATGTGGACTGACCCACAAGTGGGGCATGGGCTGACCCACGCGTAGAACATGGACTGACCGACAGCGGGGCACGGACCCACAAGTGGGCCACGGGCTGACCCACGAGTAGGACACGGACTGACCCACGCCGGGGCACAGAGCAACCCTTGGCGGGACCTATAGGAAAAACGTGGCCTGACCCATGGCGGGAGCATGGAGTGACCCACAGCGGGATTTAGAGGAAGAATGGGGTACGGACTGACCCCCAAGTGGGCCATGGAGCGACCCACAGCGGGACGCATGGAAATGCATGGACTGAGCCACGGTGGGAGCTGTAGGAGGAGCTCAGTCAGACCCACGGCAGGACGCGCAGCGGGGACCCGGTCTGACCCACGGCAGGACCCACAGAAGGCTCATGCAGTGACCCATAGCGGGACCATGGTATGACACACAGCGGGACCCCCACGGACCGACCCACTCCAGTCCCCCGTGTATGGGGGGGCCCCATGGACCGACCCACTCCAGACCCCCATGTGGGCAGGGGAGTACCCACAGACTGGCCCACTCCAGACCCCCACACGGGGGTCACAGGGACTGACCCATGGCTCCTGGTTGGGCACAGGGCTGACCCCCCTCAATGGCCAGTGCCATTTGGGGACTGGGGGGTCCCAGGCTGTGGGGCAGCGTGGGGGGGCAGGTGCTGATTGGCTGTCAGAGCAGACCCTGATCCCTTTTTAAGGGGTGATGCCATGTATTTATTTTGGGGGGGGGGGGGGGGGGCGCGGATTTTGCCAAATTTTCCTCCTGCCCCCGGCTTGGAGACCCCCCGCTTTTAATAAACCCCCCCAGTTGTGGCGCCTCATGATATCACGGTGGCTGAGTGATGATGTCATCAGGGGGTGGGAATGATGTCAGTGGCGGGTCTTGTACCCGAAGCCGTTCTTCCCGCCCCCACAGTCACCTAGGGGGCGACACGGGGGTTAGGAGGAGGACAGGGGGTCTCAGGATGATTTGGGGGAGGTCCCTATGTAGCCATGGGCTCCCTGGGGCAGTTCTATAGGGGTCTTTGGGGGGTCCCGGAGGGTTTTGGGGGCTTTTGAAGGGTCGTGGGGGTCTTATGGGGCCTCTTGGGGTGCCCCTGGGGGTCATGGGGTGCCATAGGGGTCCCAGGTGCTCCTGGGAGGGCGTGGGGGCCCTGTGAGGGGTCGCAGGGGTGTGGGCTGAGCCAGGGAGGGCCCTCGTCCCTGGGGTGGTCTGGGGGGGCACTCACAGGCCCCCAGTCGCTCCTCCAGGTCCATCAGCTGCTCCCCCAAAGCCTCCACCCGGTCCAGATACCGCAGGGGCCCCCCCAGCGCCTGCCCCACACACAGGGGGTCAGGGGGGGCCCCGAGTAACCCCCCCCACTGGGGGGGTGGGAGCTCCTCCAGCACCTGCTTATGGGGTATGGGGGCCCCCAAAGCCCCCACTCTCCCCGGCCCCACCTGCTCCAGCACCTCCATCCGCTCCTGCAGCACCTTCAGGTGGGCTGAGAGGGGCTCCGGGGCGGGTGCTGGGGGGGACAGGTGACCCCATGGAACCCAGGCATCTGGGACCCCTGCTGCCCCACTGGCTGTCTGGGGGGTCCCCACTCCACACACCCCCCGCCACCATGGACCCAGGCATCGGGGACCCCC